AATTTTTTGTTAGTAGAAGCATTCGTAAGTAGAGGTACCACTGTATTTAACATTGGGATTACATTATAAATCCAACAGTGGAAGGCTTTTCCTGTTTCTGAGACAGAGGAATTTGGCCTCTTCCTTTTGGAAGAAGACTGAAGGCTCTAATGTCATTGCTTCTAAATGCACATTTTCCTTACTTGGTTCAGAACTACCAGTTTGATTAGACCCAACCAAGTACTTGCCTTGAACTAGGTGGGTAAAATTTGCATTTTGAGTGACTTGGTTATGGTCATGTGAACTGTAGCTCATAGTCTCTATTCTGATCTGCTTTCAAGCCAGGACTTCAAATATTTTGGGGTATACAATTTGGGATCCTCCAGATGTTAGACTGCAACCTCCAGCAGTCCTGATCAGTATAGTCTGTGGTGAGGAATGCTGGGTGTTTCAGTTCAGTAACATCTGGAAAGCCCCACATTTCCCATTCCTGCCAGATGCAGTGCTGCCTAGAGCTGATCGGAACTACAGTCTCTGGAGGGCTACTTATGATATACAGGTACATTGTTCCAAAAAAATTCTGCAAGACAAAATGTGCAACCTGAGGTTTTCTAGATAGAACATTAAGAAAAGACAGTTCCTATTATTGTGCTTAAAATCTAATATTGTTCAACATGAAAAAGGAAAGTGTTGGAAGGAAGCAAATTCAGGAACTAGTTTTTCAGTTATGTGCAACCAAGTATGGAACAGCTGCTGAGGCAGAGAATTCTGAAAGAGGAGGAAATTAACTGGCAAACTAATCCCATGTGACTGGTGGTGTATCCGCATGTACACAGTTGTAGTAGTATTATACTAAAGACAGTCCTGTTGAATCCTAGGATCTGTAGTTTTATGAGGTGTTTAGAATTCCTAGTTAGAGAGCTATAGTGTAGTTTAGGAGAGTGGACTGCAAATCCAAAAATCCTGTAAGATGAAGCCAGAACAATTAAATTGGTATTGAACTGATACAAGAATGTAGTGTATATGAAGTCCAAGTGAAGAGAGAGGTCTGTTCTCTCACTCTCTCCTGAAACAAGGTGGAATGTTTTCTAATAGCCAGATGTCTGTAAGGGTAAGCAATCTACTGCTTTTGTTTGTATTATAACTATCATAAATCCCAGACAATATAGCCACTTGCCAGGGATTATGGGAGTTGTAATCCAAAACATAAGAGACCCAGAATGTTGTAATAGTTAGAGTGTTGGACTACAACTCTGGTGACCAGGGTTCGAATCCCGGTCATGGAAACTGATTGGGTGATCTTGGGCATAATCCCCTTCTGAACAAATCTTGCCAAGAAAGCCCCATGATAAGTTCGCCTTAGGGTTACCATAGGTTGGAAACTACTTAAAGGCACACAACAACAATCCAAAACCTTTGGAAGGTGTCACATTGTCTAACCATGCTGTAGGCATATTCTATGTTAGCCAAAGGGGGAGTTACATCTCAGTGGCCCTTATGAACATGAATGAGCTTGTATTAACAGCACTTAAGAAACAGAGAATAATGGGATGGCAGTGCACATGGTGCCCCTTGTGCCTCACTAGTTACAGTCCTGGCTAAGGATGATGGGAGTTGCAGTCTAATTTTTCTAGGGAAGAGCCTTCCATCTTTGCGTTTGTAGTCAGCTCTTCCTATCAGCTCCAGTGCATGGTGACCCTGTCCTAGAATGATCTTGGCATGATTTATTTAAAGGAGGTTTGCCATTGTCTTCCTCAATGGCTGAGAGAGTGTGACTTGCCCAAAATCACCTAACAGGTTTAATGGTTGAGCAGAGATTCAAACCTTGGTCTCTTTAGAGTCTTAGTCTGGCACTCAGACCACTATACCACATGGTCTTATAAAGCTATAATAAGTAGAGATCTACAAATACTGGGTATGGCTCACTCTCATTCTCTTCTGTTCTTAGGTTGGGGCAGTCAGACCTCACAGCAGCTTGCTGTGACAAGCTCGCTGAGGTGATTGTTGGAAAACCATCTCTACAAGAACTGGATGTGAGCTACAGCCACATCGGGGATGAAGGAGCACGTAAGCTCTGTGAAGCAGTGAGGAGTCCCAACTGCCACTTGAAGTATCTAATGTAAGTGGGTCCTTCATGAGATGCTAGGAATTGGAGAAATTGCTGGGTTGGGGATGAATGAAGGAACACTTTCACAGATGGGACCCAGATCACAGGCAGTGCATAGTTGCATTCCATCAAAATGGTGTACAGGAATCCCATCAAGCCTCCTGGCTCTGGCCTTTGGAAAGACCTCCATTGCATTAGACGTCAGTCTGTCATTTTCTCTTGGATATCCAGTCAGCATAGTCAGCCCTACTATTAGGAAGAATGAATGCCTCGAGTGGCAGATACTTTGGAATAAGGAGTGGCAACAGGGTGCTATATGTGCAGTACAGGCTACTGCCCTTGGATGATGCTGGAGATACTGTCCCATCAGCAGTGTTGAAGTAAAGCTCAACAGCCAGTCTGGTCAACAGCTGTGCAAGGAATTGGGGGAAACACTCTCTTGTCCTTTCACACAGGTAGCAAAATGTCTTAGATGACCCCTGCAGATCATTGTTCAGAGCAGCATTTCAGTGAGCTCCTGAATCATTAGTTTCAGCAGAGACTCTTTGGAGGTAGCCATCTTTATGCTCTCCTTTGGAAATGACAGTATTTTGTTGTGATATACTTAATAGAGATCTTTAGGATTAGGGATATGTCTGATCATCTAGACCAGCCATGACTGGCATTAGAAATAGATTTGTTTTAATTAACAACATCTGAGTAATGGCACCACATCATGACTGTACAGTGGGTAGCGATCGCACAGTTGAGTTGCAGTACAACAGGCATCAGTCCACGACAGCTTATGCCAAATGAAATAGGTTAGTTTTTGAGCTATTATAAGACTGGCTTGAGGTACGATACTTCATTTGATGTAGTGTGTACCAAAGAATGAGACCAAGAACTTCCTCCACTATTCATATGTTTATCATCTTGGTTTGTATCTCTTTGGGTCCCATCTTTGTCACTTGAAATACTCTTTAAGTCTCTCTTTGAGACTGAATTTGTCACTCTCATCACCATACCGATGTGCTTTGCATTTCTATAACAGTTTATACACACACACACCTGCATTGGTATACAGTGGGTCCTTGGTATTTGCTGGGGTTTGGTTCCAGGATACCCCATGGTTGCCAAAATCCTATTAAATACAATGACATAGTAAAAAGGTGTCCTTTAAATAAAATGGCAAAATCAAAGTTTGCTTTTTGGAATTTATATTTTTAAAAATATTTTCAAGCCATGCATGGTTGAGTTATGGATAAAAAATCCATGGATACAGAGGGCTAACTGTATATGCCCATCCACAGAGGCTCTATGCATCTGAAGAAGTTAAGTGGACCCTATGAAAACTTGTGTTAGAAATATCCTTTCCCTCAGTGCTAATGCTGCTATAGAAATCTTTTATATCTCTTTATGTACAATATTCTGTGTTGTCTTTGCTATCCACTGGGCATTACCTGCGGAAGGCAATGCTCTCTTAGCCCTTTCACCTTGGGAATTGGGCTCTTCCATGTGTTGCTCCTATGTTATGGAAAAGCAAATGCCCATTTTGGCTTGATTTTATGTTTGACTCCTCAGGCAAAGTGATTCCTGAACTTTCATCTCTAACCTTGTGTTTCACTAACTTTCACTGAATTCTTTTGCAGTCTGTATGACACGTACTGGTCTAGTCCAGTGGATGAAGCACTGAAGGCCCTGGAAGAGCTGAAGCCTGGATTTAAAGTGGTTACATGAGTTGCACAAGCTTGCTGTGACTACTTCTACTGTCTCTTTCTTCTGTAGGGATTCTTTTTTTAAACCAAAAGTGCAGCCCATATGATGATGGACTTCTAATGATTCCAAATTCAGGAACTTAGCCAAACGCAGTCTGCCTAGAAAAGCACATTCAAACCTAAGGATGTATTGGGACTTCAGTGGTGGGGCAGCTCATATAGAAAAGTTCTGGAGTATCTCCTGGGTCCAGGCTATATAAAATTAATAATAAATCATATTAGTGGGGCGTATTGCCATTTGGTAAATAAAAAGTGCAGCATAAAGTGAAAATCTCTTGTGAGGTGCAATAATGCAACAGCGGATATATGTGGATAGCATAGGGCTCTTCCCAAAAGAAGAACTATATTGGAAATGTTCTACATAGCCTTAATTGGGAACAATGCTTTCTTTTATTGTCACAGTAATAATGCAACTTGTGCCCTCAATTTAAATACTAATGATTTCAAATTTTCTGCTGAAAATGTAACAAGTGAACTTTGTGTATCTTGATCAGTGACTCTAGCTCTGTAGAAACCTGAATAAAGTTTGCTTGCAAAGAGATTGTACCTATGCTTTTGTTTTTTGTTTTGTTCCAATTTTTATTGGTTGTGTTGTAGTTATTCTGGTTACGATGGGACACTAAAAGCTTACATGACATTACCTTCTGATAGTTTGAAGCTCAGACCTCTAGCATAATTTCATGAATGGCTCAGACTCCCTTCTCTAATAGCACTGCTGTCTGTTGTTTTTTTTAAAAAAAAATATGTGTGAAGAAAGATAAGATCAACTCCTTTGAGATGTTACTGGAAAAGAATGGTTAGGATACAGTGGACAACCAGAAAACAAGCAAATGGGTCCTTCAACAGATCAACTTGAACTCTCCTTGGAAGTCAAGTTGATCCAACTGAAGCTGGTGAACTTTGGTCACATGATGAGAAGACATGACTCATTAGAAAAGACAATAATGCTAGGAAAGGTGAAAGGCCACACGCCAGATGGATAAACTCAATCGGGAGTCATGGGTATGAATTTACAGGACCTAAGTAGAGCAGTCGGGGTCTTGGAAATGTCTCATCCACATGATCTCCATGAGTTGAGGTTGACGAGGTTAACAACAATAACAGCAATATGGTACTGTAATGCCTACAGCATACTATTGTTTTCTTGCCTACATTATAATGTTAACACTGGTATAAGGTTCCAGCAACATGGAAGAGTACTGTCTCAAATTGACAATGCTTTAAAATTCTCATGTTCCAACACACCACCAGGCTTGTTATTAGCCAATTAACCACTAGGTGTCAGTGTGGCTTTTTAAAGGCAATCACATGCTCAGGGGGACACTGATGGTGATTCTGTGTGTCATTGGCCACTATCTACCTCTTTCAATCATTCTTTATAATCTTGTTTAATCTTTGCTAGATAGACTCTCACAGTGTCTTTCAGTACTATTTTACCCCTAATTGGTTAAAATTGAAGTGTGTGCATGTACATGCTATGGTTCAATATTTTTGTGCATAAAGATAATTGATGTATGCGCTTTTTATTTTGGATGGGTGAGCAAAGTGCATCCTTTCAGATGTTGGACTGCAGCTTCCAGCCGTCCTAGCCATTATAGTGAATGAGAAGTCATGCATGACTCACTAGAAACGAAAATAAAGCTTAGCAAAGTAGGGGGCAGAAGGACATTGCAAATGAATCAGCTCAATCATGGAAGCCAGGTCCCTGAGTCTGCAAGACATGAGCAGGACAGTGGGTAATAGGAGGACTCAGAGGTCTCTCATTGATAGGGTCACCATAAATCAACTTGACAGCAGTTAACTACAGAAGGAATGCTGGAAGTTGCAGTTCATCAACACCTAGAGAGCCACATTGCCCACCCCTTGATCCAGTACTTAATTCTGGCTGCAGTATAAAATTGTATTTTTATTTTATTTTATGTCCCATCTTTCTCATAGCACAGACTTGGGGTAGTTTAACACAGGGGTAGGCAACCTAAGGCCCGAGGGCTGGATGCGGCCCCCCGAGGCCTTTGGACCGGTCCCAGGCTGGTCCTGCCGCCCCCCGCCGCCGCCGCCCACCATGATGATATTGATTATTGTTGTTATTACTTGTTCTTGGGGTTTTCTTGGCAAAATCTCCACAGGGGTTTTGCCATGGCTTTTCTGGGGCTGAGAGAGTGTGCATGCATATATTTTTAATTTTTTTTAATTGTTTGTTTGTTTATTTATGGTGCTTCGGCCCTCCAATTGTCTGATGAACAGCAACCCGGCCTCCGGCTCAAAAAGGTTGCCTACCCCTGGTTTAACACATGAAAGATTTTAAATTTTAGCATTCAGCTCTTAATTGCCTACAACTAAACCTTAGGAGAGGCATTCCAATCTTTTAAAATGTGTGTAGGAAGCAAAGTTTCCTATGAAAGAACTAGAAAAGATCCTAAAATAC